ATGATTAAAATAAAATATGTGAGGCTTCTCAAAATATTTTAGTGTGTGTGTTGTTTACCCATAGTATTTTCTAACATACCCTTGTGTCTTTACAATACACTGACCACTCAAAAATATGACTAAACAATCTTTCACACTTCCTCTCTTACACAACTCTGAAGCTCCAAGTCTTGGAATCTTTATATCTTTACATTCAACTTTAGCATCCCACAATATATTTGAATCTTCTTAATGAGGTTTGAGATATATTCATCTTAGTTTCCATCATATGAGAGGTTAAATCATCGACGACCCTTGAAACCTAAGTCTTCATTTGAAATTCGTTGGACTTCAGTGCTGACTTTAAAAAAGTCTTGATCTTCAAGATCATAGCTTGATTCGAGAGGATAAATTAATTAATCATCATGTACATCTTTCACCGATTGATCTATCTTCAGTAGTTATTTGACTTTAAGAGTTGTCATCATCAAAACTGAACAACTGCTAAGTTGTTTTACTATCCACAAGCTTCACCATTTTAGATCACTTTGACTATACATGCAAGCACAAAAATCAACAGTAGGTATGAAGGGTCCTTTTTCAACTATATTTCAAACATCTACACCATGAGGTTCAAACATTTGCATTTGATTTTTCTATTAATCATAACATTAATTGTTGAAACAAGATGGTCTATATATACTAGAGCCATAATTATCTTAAGAACGGTTTAGTGGAATCTAAGTATTCCATATCTAGGAGCAAGTTACCTTTGATGTCAATGTAAATTTTATATGAAACCAAAAGATGAACTAAGATATGTTAAAGATAAATACTTGTTTAACCTTTGATTAAGATAATCCTTGTTATTTAGCCATTTATCATTTGTGGTCTTCTTATTTTTCTTATATGTGATTTTGGTTGGCTACATCAAAATCCATCTAAGGTTCTAGAAGAGATCTTTTTCACACTCATAACCCATTGTTCCATTAAAATATAATCATGGAGAGTATCTGATATGTCAAGGTCTATCTACACACGTGCAAAATACTACTAAGTTCTTTTGTAGTAAGTTTATTATTTGATAAATGAGTGTCGTTATCAAAAATAATTGTAAATAAAGTAGTTGGTTCCCTACATATAAGGGAAGAACACACACCCTCTGCCACACTTGAGCATGTGTATTCTTTAAATTTCCAGGTCTAAAATTTGTCATCCATACATACAAATGCAATAGTGAGAGCTTAACATTCGTTGTTCATGAACTCCAAATTCTGTTGAGATCCTCCCTATATTTGATTGAAAATTCAATATCCACATCCCAAAAGAGTTAAATCTCAATTTGAAATTTGTCTCCATAATTTCATGAGTTTTTCACGTGATTATGATGTCTTCAATGACACAATAGCTTTACTAGTGATCAATGTCCCATATAAATTATTGATGTATCGTTCTACTCTTGCTCTAAAAGTCTCTTCAGATTTCTTGATCAAGAGACAATTACGTTTGAGACAAAACTTGACAAAATTAGAAAAAGGTATGTGTTGTACCCCAATTTTTGACCTAAGATCCCATTTGCATTTTTGCATTTTTATACAAAAGCCAAGGTCACTAAATACAGTTGGTTTTCAACCTCTCACCTTTGAGCATTGATTGTGCAGAAATTGTCAAGTGTTTTGAACATTTTTTGCCTATGTATCACTAACTTCTAATCAAGCACGAAATGTGTGTTTTTGTTTCTTTGATTTCATGTGTTGACAGGTATCCTTCGAATGCAACTTGGGCATGTCCTTCATTTTGAATTCAAAACCTCCTTCGAATGCAAGTTTAGGCCTACTTCAATTTGAACAAGTAGCTGCCTGCAAGCGTGTTTCGATTGGGCAACAGTCTCCCTTTGATCCACAGCCTTCGATTGGGCAACACTGCTTCTTTCGATCCACAAGCTTCGATGGACAATACACCCTCCTTCGATCCACAAGCTTCGATGGACAATACAGTCTCCTTCGATCCACAAGCTTCGATGGACAATACAGCCTCCTTCGATTCACAAGCTTCGATGGGCAATACAGTCTCCTTCGATTCACAAGTCGGACCACTGTACTGCCATGCAACAAATGCTACTGAAACTGCTGCACAGTCCTGCACCCACTTGTCACTAAACTCCAAGATACTGCAGGCCTGCATTGTCACAGTCCTGTACTTGCCCAAAACGGAGTGTACAAGGGCTGCGTAGAAGAAAGGGTCGAAACAGCATTCCCAAACTGTTCAAACATTATTTTGTTTTCCCCCCAAAACTTCAGCAAATCCGCCTATAAATACAAGGCTTCACAACATGAAAAAATAGGATCTTTGGGCCAGACGAACCTCTCCCAAATTTTCTCAAACACTGTAGAAATCTGCAAAAATTCTCAAACAGTGAAACTCTCAAAATTTTCCTAAACACAAAAAATCTCTCAAGTCCCTTCAATACTTGTGAGAACAAAAAAATCCCAAACACTTACTTCCTTCGATTCTGAAGAATAACCATATTGCAGTCTCCTTCGAATCAAATAAGCACACTTGCTTTTTCCCTTCCTTCGAATCCAGGATTCCCAGCGCAACTGTTGGCCTCCTCTTTCGAATCCAGCGCTCCAGGCAGCCACCACTCAAGGTCTCTCAGCACATGTTCCAGCCTGAAGCCAGGTAAGTCACTCTTACCCTTGAACTTTTCGTTTCATGGAATAACATGTAAATAATACTTTTGTTCGTTTCCAGCATGAACATAACACTTTGAACTTTTCGTTTCATAGCATGTACATACTGCTGTTCCTTTTGATTCCACCCTTTTTAACATATTTTTTAGAACTGAGCTCTTTCATTTTTACTATTAAACTGTTACTAGCATGGCCTCAGGCCATGTTGTTATTTAATGTTTAAAATGAAAGAAACAGGAGACAGGAGTATGAAACGAAGCCCCAGGCTTCCTCACTGACTCCAGGCCCAGTCGAAGGAAGCAGAAAGGAAGATTACGTCTTGCACAGATTCCAGGCCTAGTCGAAAGGCACAACATGCTGTCCCACTGGTCTCAATTGAAAGGCACAATACACTGACTTCCAGGCCCAGTCGAAAGATACAACCTGACTGCTGCCAAAGCCCAATCGAAGGACAGGACTTCACCCCTGCCAAGGCCCAATCGAAAGACGTAACTTCGCTGCTGCCAGCCCCAATCGAAGGAGGCCAACAAAATGCCAGTCGAAGTGTGCTCCTGCCTGGGTCGAAATACACTCAGTTTTCTTACTTTTTTTTTCTTTTCCTTCATATTTTTTATGCTTTTTGATATGTTTGTAATAGCGTAGGTTTTTATCTTTCTGCATTTTATTTGCTTTGTACAAATGTTAGTAATTAGGCAAGATAAAATCAACAAGAAAACAAACACAAAAAATCAAAAACACTCTTTAATCATTATTTGAACATGCTTTAAAACATGCTAAAACACTCAACAAATCAAAACTCTCCCAAGGGCATGTTATCCCCGTTCTACCGCGATACCGGCCATGCCTATTGCTAGAATGTGTGCATTAATGTCGCCCACTAAAAAACACCAACAAATCAACTTTTTTTTCTAGAGGAACTACGGTGTTTTGATTCCTTCATTGGATACGTAGACAAAGGGTCGCGAAACCCTCACGAACACAATAATAAAAAACTCATTTTTCCCCTTAAGCAAACATATTTATAGATACATACACCCTTGTACATAACAAACAATTTTAAACCAAAAAAACAGATATTTCAAAAGGTTCCTGCGGAGTACCGCAAATGCATTGGGTGCTAATACCTTCCCATTGCATAACCAACCCCCGGAGTTTAGATCTCTTTTCAAAAACGCATTGTATTACTTTTTATCTTACATTGCATGTTTTTTAGGGTTTTATTTCTCTTTTTTCCCTTTTCTCTTGGAAATAATAAAGCGCGGTGGCGACTCTTGCTTTTTGTGAGTCAAGTTAATTAATAGCTTGATCTCCGATTTTCACCGCTACAGTATGTCACATGCGTTTTAACGAGTTTGGGATTGGGATGAAAACATAAGAGTAGTTCGAAGAAGAAAGGTCACCCATCAAAGGTCTCTATGTCGGTGATCAACGGCAGAGGAGCCCATGTATATTAAGTTTTTTATTTAAACTATAACAGATCATCCCAAAACACCTGATTTTGTGCGAACACTGATCATCCCAAAACACCTGGTTTTGTGCGAACACTGTATCTCTTTTCTCAAATATTGTATAGATGATCTTGAAAGTGTATTAGTATGTCTCACGAATATTGCAATTTTAATAGAATAACTAATTATTTGAAGATGTATTATAATTTAAAGGAATAACTTTTTTAAGATAAAATTAATGACTGAGTTATTATATTATATTTTCAAAGATATTTTGTTTCGTTCTCTACTTTAACAAACTTACAATAAAATTATAAACAATACTTAGTTGATAAGAAATATCGCAATATTTGTCAAAAATAGAAAAGACTCAAAAGAATGCATTAAATTACAAACATCAAAATGTATCGTTGTCTTTTTGTGATTATCAATATTTTAGTTGTTTACAACAATTTTTATATATTTTTTTACTAAATTGTATTTTCCGAAATCAATATATTGTATTTTCTTTTTTCTTTTCTAAAAATAAGAAATTGTCATTTCTTCCAAGTTAAGTATTCTATGTTAAAAATTGGCAAAATAAATATATTTTTGGACAGTAGCTAATTAATTAAAATATCACTTTTACCTATATACTATTGACCCTAAAATTAACTTTTATATTAAATGTCTCTTATTATAATATAATATAATATTTATTTTATATCTTCTGCCAACAGGAATAACACATTCTAAATTCCATGTTTGCATTCTCCTATATATAACCTCTACAATTATATTCAAATTTTGCATCAAAGTTTTAAGATCTTGTATTCAAATTCCCAATTTTAATTCAAGAAAAATTTCAGGGGAGTTACAAACATCCATATAAATCAAAACAATGGCTTGTTGGTCTGCAGAAAATGCCACTAAAGCCTATCTCAGCACTTTGAAAATGGTGAGTAGTGTTCCTCAATATTTTCAAGCTAGAATTCTTGAATTATTTTATTTTCATTTAAATTTTTTTCTGATCTGATTTTATGTTATTTTTGTATAGGATCAAAAGGTTAAAGAACCATCAATTTCTGAATTTATATCAGCATTAGCAGCTGGAAACAATGCACAACTAATGGTAGTAGCTTGTGCTGCTGCAGCTGATTTAACAACATTTGCACTAATTGCTGCTGCTAATCAAACTAATGGCAATGTGATATGCATTGTACCTAACAATGAAGATTTACTTGCCTCAAAATATTTCTTAGGAGAAGATTCAAATAAAGTGAAGTTCATGATTGGAAAAGAAGCACAAGAATTAGATGTGTTAAACAAAGCTGATTTTGTGGTAATTGATTGTAACCTTGTGAACCATGAAGAGATTGTGAAATTAGTAGAAATTGGTGATGGTAATAAGCAAAGGGAAATAGTTGTTGTTGGTTACAATGCTTTTAGTTGTAAAGGGTCATGGGGAACATGTATATCAAAAACACAATTGCTTCCTATTGGTGAAGGGTTGTTTCTGACAAGATTTGGAGAAAATAATGCTATTAGTCCTAAATGGAGTGCTCGAAGCCGGTGGATTGTGAAGGTTGATAAATGCACTGGTGAAGAAAATGTTTATAGAATAAAGCTTCCTCAAAGATAATTGATTTAAGCTCAATTATATAGTTAATTTGGATGCATAGAAAATATAGTAGTCAAAATTTTGTAGTGAACTAGTTCTTCATTTAGATTTTATGTTAAAATGTAAGGCACCAATTAGTCCTATTTAAAATGTAAAAAACAAACTAGAGGTATAATATGAATTTTGGTTTGAAATATAGTGTGGATGTTTTGCATATACTCTAAATAGGGAAGAGATCAAAAGAAATACGTTTAGGTTCTTTCCCAAACTATATTGGCCATGTCTTCCAATGTCACTTATTAACTATATTGTTTCATTGCATTATCTTAAAGCTAGTAGGTCTGGCATAATATTCAGTGTTTGTTTGTGTGCTTGTAATCAAACTTATTTAAAATAATTTCATTCTCTTCTGTCAAAAGGATCATAAAATATTTTAAAGGAATCTTAAATGTAGGTTTATAGTATTCAAATGGTAGTCTATGTGATTTTGTCGGATATTCTGATTCTGATCATGTCAGATGTAAAACTGATAGAAAAAAACGAGTCAAACATGTCATATATTAGGAGATGTACTAGTTTCTTGATTATGTAAAAGTAAGTATGTGTTTCCCTAAATATTGTAGAAACAAAATATATTGTTGTTGGAAATTGTTGTGTGCAAGTATTTTTGTTATAGAAATAATTATACAATTATAGTTTAAATATAGGGTACATTCCTCTAAAATGTGACAAGTGCCATAAATTTAATTAAAAATCTAGTAATACATTCAAGAATTAAACACATAAACATCATACATCATTTCCTATGAGATCATATTCTTAAAGGATATGAAATCACATTTGTGAATACTTATAATCAATTGGCTAGCATATATTGATCAAGTAACCTTTATATAAAACAAGAAGAGAACCGGAAGTCTTGGATTAAAATGATATCTTAGAACGAACATTCATTTGAAACACAATGTCAATTATGATGATTTTAAAAGAATTCAATCCATTTTTCTATCAAATCAAATGGAACATACATCAAGTTACATAATCAATCTTTCCACTTTCCCATGTTTTTTATGAGCTATTCAACTTTTTCTTTCTTATGATAACGTCAAAAGGGGTTATAAAGGTTAGGAACTAGATTTAGCATATTTACAGGTTACAAAATTGTATTATTACAAACTTTAGTATCAATGAGGGAGACATACATTAATGGATATTTTTTTTCAAATCCTATCAACAATACTGTAGCGGTGAAAATCGGAGATCAAACTATTAATTAACTTGACTCACAAAAGCAAGAGTCGCCACCGCGCTTTATTATTTCCAAGGAGAAAGGGAAAAGAGCGAAATAAAACCCTAAAACATGCAATGTAAAATAATACTTAAAAGTAATGAGAATACAATGCGTTTTTGAAAGAGATCGAGAGTTCGGGGGTTGGTTATACAATGGGAAGGTATTAGCACCCAATGCATCTGCGGTACTCCGCATGAACCTTTTGGAATATCTGTTTTTGGTTAAAATTGTTTGTTATATACAAGGGTGTATTTATCTACAACTATGTTTGCTTAAGGGGAAAGAAATGAGTTTTTATTATTGCGTTCGTGAGGGTTTCGCGATCCTTTGCCTACGTATCCAATGAAGGAATCAAAACACCGTAGTTCCTCTAGAAAAAAGTTGATTTGTTTGTGTTTTTTAGTGGGCGACATTAACGCACGCATTCTAGCAATAGGCACGGCCGGTATCGCGGTAGAACGGAGATAACATGCCCTTGGGGGGAGTTTTGATTTGTTGAGTGTTTTGGGTTTTTAAGATATATTCAAGTAAGGATTAAAGAGTGTTTTTGGATTTTTTTGGTTTGTTTACTTGTTGATTTTATCTTTCCATACACGCCTAATTACTAGCATTTGTACAAAGTAAATAAAATGCAGTAAGATAAAATCCTACGCTATTACAACCGTATCAAAAGGCATAAAAAATATGAAGGAAAAAATAAGATAAAAGTAAGAAAAATGAGTGTATTTCGACCCAGGCAGTAGCATCCTTCGATTTGCATTCTGTTGGCCTCCTTCGATTGGGAGTTCGCACCAGTGAGGTCATGGCCTTCGATTGGGCTTTGGCACCAGTCAAGTTATGTACTTTGATTGGAGGCTGGCACCAGCGTGGGAGTGCCTTTCGTCTGAGCCTGGACTTAGTGCAAGTGTGTCTCAGGCTGGGCCTGAAAGTCAGTGTGGAAACCAAAGGCTTCGTTTCATACTCCTGTTTCCTGTTTCTTTCATTTCAAGCATTAAATGATAACATGGCATGAGGCCATGCTAGTATTTATCTTTCAAACAGTTTAATAATTAAAGCTAGTTCAGGTAAACAGAAAGCAAAACGAAAGGGTTAACTTTTTTTAAAAAAAACATGTTAACAGGGTGGAAACGAAAGGAACAATGGTATATACATGCTTGAAACGAACAAAAAGATTATTTACATGTTATGGCATGAAATGAAAGGTTCAAGGGTAAGAGTGACTTACCTTGATGGAGGCTTTGAATGGGTGTGGGACCTTGAGTGGAGGCCCAAGATTCTGGATTTGAAAGAGGGGGCCAACAGTTGTGCTTGCAATGCTGGATTCGAAGGAAAGAAAGAAACAAGTCTTATGTTTCTTTCCAAACTGAATTCGAAGGATACTGAAGAATACTTGTTCTTCAGAATTGAAGAAAGTAAGTATGTGATTCTGGGTTTGTTCTCACAAGTGTTGAAGGGACTTGAGAGATTTGTTGTGTTTGGGAAAATTTGGGAGATTCGTTCCTCTGGTCCAAAAATCCTCTCCAAAATATGTGTTGGAGCCTCTTATTTATAGGCAAAGTGGGCTGAAGCTTTTGGAGGGAAAACAAACTAATTTGAACAATTTGAGTAAACTGCTCTTTGCAGCCTTTGAGGGACAGTGCTTGTATGCTATTTTGGTGCAAGGAATTGGGCAGTGCAGGACTGCTGTGCAGCAGTTTTGTAGCAGGTTTTTCTGTTTTGTTTTGGCATCTTACAGCAGGCATTGGAGCAGCAACAACAAGTTTTTGGAGTGTTGTATTTGGCTAGTGTACCATGTCTGAACTTGGCAGCAAGCATCTTTGAATATTTTATCCTTTCATTTTTACCCTCCTTCGACCAGATTCTTCTTCCAACACATTGTTTGACTTTTCTCTAACAAGTGTCCTTCGAACGAATCATCTTTGTGCATCATTTGAAGGGGCCAAATGTGTGCTTCGAATGGACTAGTAAGGCGTACCCTTCGATAGAGACTCATATGTATGCCCCTCAAGTCCACCACTATATGTCTTTTGAGGGGGCCATCAACCATGTGCTGAAGTTTGTCAAGGATGGAAATGTAGCATACTAAAGAGAAATGTTGTCCAGTCGAAGCTAGTACAAACATAGTCGAAGCCTGCATGGAGGAGGTCTAAACTTTGTGACTCCAAGCAAGCACACAAAAAGGTCAATGCTCAAACAAAGACTTGCACGAAGGGAGCCACATGCCCAAACAAATCTTGGATCGAAACAAATATATTGCCCAATCGAAAGCCCGTGTTCGAAGGAAGCAATGTTGCCCAATCGAAGCATGTGGATCGAAACAAACATATTTCCCAATCGAAAGCCCGTGTTCGAAGGAAGCAATGTTGCCCAATCAAAGCATGTTTGCAGGCAGTAAACTTGTCCAGTCGAAGCAGGCTTGCAGGCAGCAAACTTGTCCAATCGAAAGCAGGCTTGCAGGCAGTAACCTTGTCCAGTCGAAGCAGGCTTGCAGGCAGCAAACTTGTCCAGTCGAAGCAGGCTTGCAGGCAGCAACTTGTCCAGTCGAAGTAGGCTGAATCGAAGGAGACCTGTCAGCACATGAAATCAAAGAAACAAAAAAAAACATATTCCGTGCTTGATTAGAAGTTAGTGATACATAGGCTAAGAATGTTCAAAACACTTGACAATTTCTGCATAATCAATGCTCGAAGGTGAGAGGTTAAAACCGACTGTATTTAGTGACCTTGACTTTTGTATAAAAATGAAAAAATAAAAATGGGATCTTAGGTCAAAAATTGGGGTATGACAGCTACCCCTATTTAAGTTTCTTCTATCTGGAGATATGAAGATTGGAATCTTCATTTCGACGAGATTGAAGGGACTTAAATATAGAATACACAATTTTTGGCCTTAAGATACCGCAATTATGTTTATGATATGATATGAATGTAATATTTTGAATTTAATGAGGAATGATGCCGTATGAGACAAACTACTGCTGGATAAACCAAGCGCATTATACAGTAATCCCGTAGGGGAAGAGATTATAACTCCACTGGGGAAACAAAGTCATAGACTTCAAATGAGAGACTCTTGAATGATTTACATCAGTGTTGAGACTAGAAAGGAAATGATTGACATCAACACTAAGGCTGGCAGATGATGATTGACATCAGCACTGAGACTGGAAAATGATTGGCATCAGTACTGAGACTGGAAATAAACATTTCTGACTTCTGAATTTTACCAAGAACGGTAACACATTTCTTCTTTAACCAAGATATCGCTTGAAAAAGATAAAATACAAATTTCCCCATGGAACTTTTCCGAAGAGGTGTCGTTTGCATTATTGTTGGAGATACACAAGCTGCTCAAATAAAGAGGCCGCCAATTGCTTCCTTTTAAAGGTATCAATAACATACAAGTTGCTTATGAAGAGACTGCCGCTTGCTGTTTTTTCAAAGATAACAATAACATACAAGTTGCTCATGAAGAGACCGCCGCTTGCTGTTTTTTCAAAGATAACAATAACACACAAGTTGCTCATGAAGAGACCGCCGCTTGCTGTTTTCAAAGATGACAATAACATACAAGTTTCTCATGAAGAGACCGCCGCTTTCTGTTTTCTCTAAGGTATCAATAACATACAAGTTGCTCATGAAGAGACCGCCGCTTGTTGTTTTCAAAGGTGACAATAACATACAAGTTGCTCATGAAGAGACCGCCGCTTGCTGTTTTCTCTAAGGTATCA